AACATTTAATATCAAAACAATAATATTATGTTTTAAATTGAGTATTAAATTAAAAATTATTGTAAAACTTTAAATTCTTTCATTGCATACCATTTCTCATAATATCATCGCAAGTGTGGCCGCAATCTGAGCCGCATTTCATGTATACCTCATTCTTTGAACATTTTCCGGCCACAATCTTTATTCCTGTTTTATTAAAATAATTACTACATTTGAAACACTAGTCTTTGTTTATTACCGTCTTTTTTAAAAAGGTCAATGCATTCAATTGCCGTACAAATGATTATATTAATTATAACAAAGTATAATAACTGTTTAGACACCATTTTGACTTTATATCATTAATAAATTATTATTGTAAACACTTAATGCAAATATGGTTTATGTACATTTATAAAAACATTAATTTTATTATTAAAAATTACAACATTAAATTTTAAATTAAATGATTTATATGAAATTTCATATAAAATACTTACAATACTTGAAAACATACCGTTTGGGTACTACTTATACATGTATTAAATTAGTATTTTTTAATGAACTTCAAATCAATTATTTTTAGAAATAGTAGAGATAGGAGTGAAAGTATCTGTAAATAATAAATATAAATTGTTATCATTATTACATTCAAGTTATAATTATTACAAAAGCTGAACTCTATGCTCTATGTTTCAAATTAAAACTAAAGCTAAATTTTATTTATATCTTTTATTCAATAAATACTGGAAATTTCTAATTAAAAATCATTAACAATTACTTACTTCATAACAACGAAAATAATTAACAGTAAATAACTTCCAACACGAAAAGCCCACGTCTTTCATAGCCGTCCTTTCAATCATTGACAACAACTAAAATACCGGTAAATTAAATGACAATTGAGTTCTTGTATCAAATATACCTGAATCTGATCTCTGATACGAATGCAACGACAGTTGAGATTCAAAATCATTAAGCGATTCATGAATTTATATGATTTGTTTGCCTCTGAATTGAGTGCCGAAGCCATGAAAATGACAAACAAAAAGAGCAGTAAAAACAATACGAGAACATAATTATAGATAATTTTCACAATTAATGCCATTTCAGTGAACACTGAATTGTAAAGCAGGAGAACAGTCGCCGAACCAAACGTTAGCCAAAAACAGAGCAAATATTTTGACCAAAAACTAGTGTTATATTCATTTAATTCTTCATTTATTTTGTAAATTGATTGCAGAATATTTCGGATTTGAGACAATTCTTGCGGTCGTTTGCAGTAAACGATGTAATTCTTGTAAATCGTCCGAAATTTGAGTTTCAGATACAGACAAAGAATGTAAAAATAAATGATTTGATATAAAATTAATTGCCAATAATAATAGCCCCAAATTGTAAAAAACATTGCATTTAAAATACAAAAAACAAATGTATTTTCAATGTTTGTGTACGTCATATACGGGACTATGTTTACAAATAATGTACATAATATAATCGGAAAGTTGTTATTAAATTTGGCAAATCTAGTTAAAAATCTAAAATATTTAATCAATCTCTTAATTTCCGTGGGATTCGTGAGACCAACAGATTTGGGTGAAACCAAACCCGACATCATTTGAAATACACCGAGAAATGTGGGTTTTATACCATTCTTATAGTTATAGTAATAAATCAATTGAGAATTTATAGCCAAAAGTGATATTAAAATGAAAAATACATTATTAATGGTTGCAATTCTTAATAGATAACCGAAATCTCCCAAAACTATATAAATCATTTCATTGTGTTTCCCGTAAAGCAAACAAATTATTCGGTTTGCTATAAATATGAGAAATGTTATGAATAGATATATGGGTTTATTAAACCATGTTCTTTGATTTCCTGTTGAATTCAATGAGTATTTATCGGGAGTTAAACCAATTAAATACAAATAAATATCCGCTGATTTATTTCTAATATTTGGTGGCAATAACTTGTTTGTATCTAGTATTACAACCTGGGACATTTTGCAATCACTTCAACCACTTCACTTGTTTTTATGGCTTATAATGAAAACATTTAATATAAACAACGTTTTAGCATTTTTCGTGTAAATATATTATTTTCCAAATATTTAATTTAATTTAAGAGACAATACACTAATTTTTATTATGTTTAAAGTGAATTATATTATTAAATGAAGTGTAAAACTAAATTTATATTTTATATTATGCTGTGACTTAATTATGGTAATTATTATATTGAATATTTGCATACATTGTAATGAATGTTTGTTTTATCCAAATTCAGTCATGAAAATTTGAATAATCATAATTTCATTATCAGTTTAAGTAAATAATCTTTAATTAATAAAAATGTTTATTTTATGCAATATAAATAATAAAAAATTTAATGTTCTATAATAATTCAATATAAAAATCCACAAAATAACAACATTATGTTTTAATATAATTCATATATGACAGAAAAATCTATATCATTAATGATGAATTGTTAACAAATTAATGACAATTAATGTAAAATATTTAAAATTCACAGAATTTAGGCAAACATTTCAATTGTAATCATATTGTAGTTGTTATTTAGGAAACCTATTACAGTTAAGTGATAAAACATTATGTTAAAAGTATGACAAACGTGAGAGCTCTGTTATCTAAAACAACATTCAATAGAATTATCCTTGCTAATTATGACAACAATTTAATAACTATTTTAATAAATCAACTTAATGTGAACTCAATTAATAAGTTATTATAGTATTAAGATAAATATATTAAAATTAAATAATTAAAAGTAATAATCATCACATGTATTAAAATTAGTTATTAAAATAACATTTATTTAAATTTTATAGTTTTCAAAATATTCTCACACATTAAGACAAATGCAGGAATAATTTCAAAAGTTGAATAATCGGTTTTTATGATTTTTTCGTTGCGTACAATTTTTCTCAATTTCGGACATCGTTTACATGTTTTCCATAAATCATATTTATTATAGAAACAGTAGTGAGAAATGATGTATACCTCTCGCAGTGATGACAGTCTTGAGACACACGACAGAAACTTATTGTCAAACCATATATAATTCTCGACGAATAGTATTTGCAGTTTTGTTTGTGTGAATACAATCTCTTTCAACAACTCTTTAGGAAACTCATTAAAAGAAAGATATAAGTGTGTGAGTCGTGGCCAACGATTCAGTGGATTTAATTGTGTCCAAACGATTGCATTGTCATTGTCTTCGATCTCAAGATTTAGTTGCAAACGTTTTAAACGCGGCATAAATTGGATTGAATTCATAATCTCTATATTGAATGCCATATCTTCTGATGTAACCAAAATTGTTAACTTTTTAAGTTTTGTACACTTTATGCCAATTCTCTTCAGATTATCGTATATTGAATATTGAAGAACAGATGAATTTAAATCACTATAAAATATTAGATCTAATTTTTGCAATTCTTCTAATTCTGATAATTGTGTTAAGAATTTAGTGAACTTTTCTTTTGAGACCAGAGATGTAGAAAAAATGTAAACATGAACTTCTTGGAGACGAGTTCTATAGTATGCGATGAATTGCACAAAACTTTCTGTATTGAAGTCTTCAGTGAAAGGAAAGTGAATTCTTTTTAATTGATTGAATGATAACAAGTGATTGTCTTCTGTGGCAAACATTAGATCCAATTTTTCTATAGAAAGTATAGATAATTTGGGAAAATTCTGTTCGTATGGGAACTGATCTGTTGTGAAGATTGGAATATAAGTAACCATTGGACCAATTGGTGACAAATTGTCATAACTTTGAGGATTATTGACGAAGAAATTGCACCAAAAGAAAATTCTTTCCAATTGTGAGAATTGATGTATTGATTGCAATATTGTGTTCGTATATCGATTGAACTCAATCTCTAAATACCTTATACTTTGAATGTTTGGACATTTGTTTGCAATAAATTGAATAAATCTTTGACACAACACTTCGTCCGATAGATCCACTTCTTTGGCTCTCATTCTATCAATCAGTTTGTCTTCGATGCGAATCTCATGAATGGATTGATAAATACATCTCTGAAACTGCTTTGAGACGCATTGGTGTCGACATCTCATCTCAAATGCATGTTTCGGGTCATCGAAGGAATGATAAGACAGCAAGAGTTGCGCCAAATCATCGCCGAAACGATCGAATGAGTTCTTTGGGTACTTTTAATTAACAGACATATCATTTAAATAACTCATATAAACTTCTATCTTATTAATTACTTCTCTATTATTCTTCACAAATAGACTCTTAAGAAAATCACACAATCGTGTCATCACTTTATGTTCAGAATCACTGATTATTACTCATTAAGTACTAACTTTGAACTAACATTAGATACGGTTTAAACTAATTTAAAATTGATCTTTTTAAATATTGTTAAAACGCGAAACAAATAATTTTACTTATAATTAATTTAGATCTTAAATCAATTATTTATCTAATCTAATATATTTATTAATATTGATATCAATAAATTGTTTTGAATTTTTAAATTATTATTATAATTTAAATGTTATAAAATTATTATAACTTATAATCTATTAAATTATTTTATTATATAAATAATACATTATAACAAATAATTTTTATCTAATAGATATGTTATTTAATATTTTTAAGATATGTGAGTTTGAGTACAGTTGAGGTCTCTTTCAAATACACGTCCCATAGATTGTCCCAATCGGTGGTCAAACCAATCTGTTTGATGGCGTACTTCAGGACAGTTGACATTATATTGGGTTTGTATTACAAACTTTGTAATTATCTGTAAAGTTAGTCAATCAATAATAGGTTTTATAATTAAAATAACAGTTTATTTATAATATAATAATAATAATCAATACCTTTATTATTTTATTGTCACAATTGACGTGGTGTCGGTATACCTGGTATTTATAAATATATTTCCCGAGGGGTTGGTTATAAACGGGAGGCTTTAGTTATATCTGGGAGGCCTGGGTACATTTCCCGTGGCATTAGTTATAACTGGAACACTTGGGTACAGTGCCCATGCCGTTGGTTATACCTGGGTGACTGTGGTACATTGCCCGTGGCGCTATTAATCTTAACTTAAATAATCTCATGATTAACAAATACTGTATGAGTATTATTAATTAATAATTATTATACTTCCAATATTATAATTATTTTAAATATTATAATATTAATTGGTCTACAAATTAACAAATTAAATTTTATATTCATTTGCATACATTGCATACCTCCCACAATTAAATAAGAATATAATATAAAACTTAAACTGTAAAGATAAAACAATTAATATTGTGCTAAATTGAATTATATTTTTAATTAATAGGGTTTTAATTGTAGTTAATGTTAGATATATTTTATATTAATTTTAATTACTTATAGGTCTGATTGTTATGTCAAAGAATATATAGATATTTACAATAAATAGTCTATTAGTAGTTTTTGGTAACAAAATATCATAAAAAATATAATAACTTCAATAATAATATATAAATGCAATAAAATAAGTTTTATAACCAAATAGTAGTCAATCAAACATAAAAGACAAAACATTTTCAAAAATATTATTGATCTAAAACTAAATTTATAACACCATATAATCATTAATGTTTTTACATTCATTTTTAATAATTTATTAAAACTAAACACAAGTTATTTCATAAGAAAACTAAATTCATTAACAAAAATAATTAATTGTGTTATTATTTTCAATTACTAACGAATAAACAATATTTCAACCAATAAAACTCAAAAATTATTATCTAAATCTAATAAAAACATATTTATTAATAACAGAATTAAACACAAATTAGTTATACTTTCAAAACAAATTCATAACACAAATGCCAGTAATTATAGCAGAAATACAACATTTGATACGAGAGTTAACTCATCCTTTATTTCTGGACAATTCAATGATCTTCAGAAACAATACCGACAGCAGAGAAATGATCTGCAAATATCATTATTTGTATTAATTGTGGATTAATTTACAATTAATTGCTTATCATTTAATATATCACTTAAGTCTCACTTCATAACACCTGAAGTAATTGATGGTAAATAACTTCCAACAAGAAAAGCCCACTCTTTTCTCAGCCATTCTCTCAATCATAACCATTAGCTGTAAATTAATTTTAAATTACATATTAAAATACAATAAAAATATTACCCATAAATACCTTGAGCTTTGTATGGATGGCATTGGCTTTATTCTGAGCCTTACTTTGGTTTTGAGTTCCCATTGAATCGCTATTCATTTCACACTAACTTATTCTTACTTTCAAAATACAAAGTTTGTTATACGACTGTTTGCCCACAACTAAGACCTCAAATGTAAAATACGGTTTAAATTTAGTTTCAATACAATTAAATTATATTCAAGATCATTATAACTATCATTACTATGGAGACAACAAAATTATAACACAAATTGTGTTGAAAAACTATGTAAATATCCCATTATTACACCACTAAAGTGCTCATAAAATATATCATTAAATGCTAATTGTTTTAAGAATAATAAATACATTTACATGTATTTTATATATTCTTAAATGGAAAACAAATAATATTTACCTAAAGTAAATTACTTTTGAGCTTTATAAAAACAGAACAACAAGATCAAATAGACTTATTTAGGCGAATTACCAACTGATACTGGTTACTTTAATAAAAGTTAGTTTATTATAATTAATTATCAAGCTTAAATTGTTACATTAAATTCATTTAAATAATATACAATTTTACAATTTATAGTAAAATCGATATTATATTTATTACAAATAAAATACAATGTACAATGTAAGTCATAAAATAGCAACAAAATAATAGTTTATTTCTTTGATGATTGTCCCGTCATTTCGATAATTTTAATCATGAATACGCAAAGCATTGATATAACCTATAATTTTAAATAATGATAAATGTAATCAATTATAAAATGGTTTTAACAAACCCATTGTTTATAATAATTAGTTTTATTTTAATAATTTTATTTCGAAATCATAAAACATTAATTAAATTAATGTAAAGTTTAAAAAACATTAATTACACAATAATTAATAATAATAAATTCAAAATAATTTACTGAAAAATGATTGATTTGAAAACTAAATGAACTATAAGTAAAATTATTTGTTTCGCGTTTTAACAATATTTAACATGATTAATTTTAAATTAGTACAAACCGTATTTAATGTTAGTTCAAAGTTAGTAATTAATGAGTAATAATTAGTAATTCTGAACATAAAGTGATGACACGATTGTGTGGTTGTCTTAATAGTCTATTCCAGAAGAATACTAGAGAAGTAATCAATAAGATAGAGGTTTATATGAGCTATTCTAATGAATTGTCTGTTAATACAAAATTAAAAGTACCCAAAGAACTCATTCGAGCGTTTCGGTGATGATTTGGCGCAACTCCTGCTGTCATATCATTCCTTCGATGACCCGAAACATGCATTTGTGATGAGATGTCGACACCAATGCGTCTCAAAACAGTTTCAGAGATGTATTTATCAATCCATTCATGAGATTCGCATCGAAGACAAACTGATTGCTAGAATGAAAGCGAAAGTGAATCTATCGGACGAAGTGTTGTGTCAAAGATTTATTCAATTTATTTCCAATAAATGTCCAAACATTCAGAGTATACAGTATTTAAAGATAGACACCAATCGCTATACAAACACAATATTGCAATCAATACATCAATTCTCACAATTGGAAAGAATTTTCTTTTGGTGACAATTTTTTCAAAAATAATCCTCAATGTTATGACAATTTATCACAATTTGGTTCAATGGTTACCCAAATATTAATTTCCACTACAAACCAATTTCCATACGAACAGCATTTCCCTAAATTATGTAGTCTTGAAATCACTAATTTTGATGCAATGTTTGCCACAGAAGACAATCACTTGTTGTCATTCAATAACTTGAAGGAAATTACCTTTTCGTTCGCTAAAGACTTCAATACAGAAAGGTTTATGCAATTTATCGCTTATTATAAGACTCGTCTCCAAACAATTTATGTCTTTATAAAATATATATCTCTGATCTCGAAGAAAAAGATTACTAAATTCTTGACACAATTATCACAATTAGAAGAATTGCAAAAATTATATCTAATATTTAATAGACATTTATATTCATCTGTTCTTCAATATTCAATATACGATAATCTGAAGAGAATTGGCATAAAGTGTACAAAACTTAAAAAGTTAACAATATTGGTTAAATCAAAAGATATGGCATTGAATATAGAGATTATGAATTCAATACAATTTATGCCGCGTTTAAAAAGTTTGTATCTCGATCTTGAGATCGAAGACAATGACAATACAATTGTTTGGACTCAATTAGAGCCGTTGAATCGTTGGCCACGACTCGCACACCTATATCTTTATTTTTGTAAGATTCCCAAAGAGTTGTTGAATGAGATTGTGTTCACACAAACAAAACTACAAATACTATACATCGAGAACTGTATATGTGTTGACACTGAGTTCATGTCGTGTGTCTCAAGACTGCCATCACTTCGAGAGGTATACATCGTTTCTGACAACGTTTCCCATTTCGTTAATACATATATTTTGTGGAAAACTTATCAAAGAAGTCCGAAATTGAGGCAAATTGTAGTAAACGGAAGAATGGAAATTATAGATTATTCATATTTCCAATTTATTCCTCAAATTTGTTTAATGTTTGACAATATTTTGGGAATATAACATTTAAATAAATTTTATTTTAACAACTATTTTTAATTTACATAATTATCACTATTTATTATTGTATTTTAATATATTTATCTCAATATTATAATAACTTAATAATTGAGTTGACATTAAGTTTATGTATTAAAATAGCTAGTGTTTAGTTGTCATCAATTGTCATAATCATAAGTGCCCGGTTTGTACACGATCGTGTACACAGCATTATTCAAATGTGTTATAATTTATACACTATTCGCGTATTATTCATAGATAGTGTACAGTAATATAAAAGTGGGGTTTATTATAAACCTGAATAAACCATTTGAATAAACTTTTATTAAATATAATATTTTGAGTATTCAAAGGGGAGATAATTATTATAAATACAGTAACGCTTATCTTGAATTAATGCTTAAAAATTGATTCGATCATTCAATAATCACGTTAAATTAATTTCAACCCTGCCCTCCCTCTAACCGGTGTTGGTCATAATTCAATCATTGTTTATTCTTAAATAAGATATAATTATACAATTTATAGTAAAGTCGATATTATATTTATTACAAATAAAATACATTTATTATACATTCTTAATGAAGTTGTTTATAAGTTACCAGTAAAGTTCTACAAGTTATAAAATAACAACAAAATAATGGTTTATTTTTTTGATGATTGTCCCGTCATTTCCATAATTTTAATCATTAATACGCAGAGCATTGATATAACCTATAGTTTTAAACAATGATAAATGTAATCAATTATAAAATTTATCACTAAATATACAAAACATCGCTCACTTCATAGCATCGAAAATAATTAACAGTAAATAACTGCCAACACGTGAAGCCCACTGTCTTCTCGGCTGTTCTCTCAATCATTGCCATTAACTGTCATTAAAAACAATATTTATAGACAATTATCACATAAAACCCAAACATTTAATACCTTTAATTTAATTGAAAACGATTTGTTATCGCCGTCTCTCTGATAACGTTGTCTTCGGGCGTAGAAATAGGATATCATTAACCAATTCAATGATTTGTATGTTTTGTTTGCCTCATAATTAACCGAAGATGCGGTGAATATAATGAATAGAAATATCGACAGAAATATTATAAAAGTATAGACAGATATAACATAGAAAATTAGATTCATTTTAGTGAATAAAACCATCGATAGTATCAAAACAGTGACCGAACCAAACAATATCCAAAATGCGAGCAAATATTTGGACCAATAAGTTGTGTTGTATTCTTGTATTTCTGTGTATAACGTGTTAATACTTTTCAATGTTTGGGAAATGTATGAATAATTGTGTGATTCAATAGATTTAAACACGTGGGTATTTAACGATACAATTTTAAGCTTAATATAATAACAAATCAAATAGAAATATACGAATTGATAGATTAGAAAATTTAATGAATAATAAGAATATAACGAATATAACATAGAGTTTACGAAACCATAGATTAGTATTTGTTTTAGAGTACAGTTGAGAAGATATGATGAAAAACATATCGTGAAGTAAACGATAGGAATTGTGATCTCATTATTCAATTTAATGAATTTCAATAATCTATTGCTTCGTCTGAGCAGTCGATTCACTTCCGACTGATTCGTGAGACCAACAGATTTGGGTGAAACCAAACCCGACATCATTTGAAACACACCGAGAAATGTGGGTTTTATACCATTTCTGTAGTTATAGTAATAAATCAATTGTGAAATCATTGACAGAATGAAGAATAAAATAACGGCAATGTTTAGATGCATTCGGAGTCCAATATAATGGCCATAATCTCCTAAAACAACGAATAGGTATTTATTCTCATTATTTAGTAATAATATGATTGAGTGTTTGATAACAGCTATGAATAGGACAATGAATATAAGCCATGGATTGTGGATGAATTTGCGACATCTATACCATGTGTTATCATCGGTAGTAAAGCATAAGCCAATTCTAAATAAGTGGAAATCAGCTGATTTTATCACATAATCTTCAGGTAATAATTCATTTGAATCAAAATTATGCATTAATTGCCGTATATTTAAGTATTAATAAATAATAAAGGTTAAACTATTTTTGTACACCAGTTGTCAACAAAAATCTAAACCAGTTATTAAGATATTCTTATAATATGTTTATTTCTAATATTACTGATTTGTTAGCAATAGTTTTATTGTAATGTAAAATTTAAATAATTTAAATATAATAACTATTTACATTAAATGTTTATTTTGAAAATAGTATTACAAATTGCCAAAATTTATCATCAAATCCACATAAATGTAATTTAAACATACAATCATTAAAGTAGTAATTATAATATAATTAATACAAGACACGAATGGTTACAGTAGTACTTAATTAATGATTAAAACGTACGTGAATGTGCCAATTAATGACCATGGTGCACTAACATTGTTTGTTTTACATAATAACATCATGATTCATGAGAGATGAGATTTTCCGGGAATAAAAACTTCCCAATTCGGTCGGGAACGGGAAGTATAACAGTTAATTTCGGGAATATTCAGAATTAACGCTTATTTAGTTCAAACACAATAATTATACATTTAAATCATTTGTGATCATAACAATTTTTATTGTAATTAGCTGTAATACCATAATCGTTGATTTATAAATATATTATCTTAATTTATATTAACATTAATA